CATCAGGGTTGCACTCTTTGTGGCACTTCTCAAATGCTACTATGTTACGAAACGCGGTTCCTCTGTGATCGTTGATGTACAAAGGAGGAATGGTGAGTTGCTTAATTATAAGACCCAATTTATTGCCAAAGGTTATGTCAAGCAATTGTCTACTCTCATCTGCTTTGATCCTCACACCAGCCTCCATCAACTCCGTTACGGACCGAACCATGTGGTGTTGGGCCCCTCTGGGCTTTTCTCCTTCTAGTTTGGGCCTAATGCTTGACCTAAGAAGATCCAGAAAGTGAAGCCCTCTTAACTCATCACATTCAGCTGGAAAATTGTCAGAATCCACATGCAGCAAAGGGTAAAAGAATCTAACAGCAAGTGCTTTGAGGTTCATGCATGGTTGTGATGAAGTTGCATCATCAACCCTAGTCAACTCAAACAACTTGTTCAAAACAAACATAGGAAGCTGGTTTTCCAGCATAATCAACTCACGCCGAATAATGGGTAGCATCCATCTATTCAAACAAGGGACTTGTTTGAATTCACACGCTGAAAGATCCCTCAAGAGCTGAATTATGAAAGAGGCATCAATTAGCATCATTTGAAGAAACTCGTCGCTGCTGAGTTTGATGTCTTCCATGTAACATCTTCGAATGTCGGATTCTTGTTCCTCGAGGAACTTGAATGCCTCGTCTAGTATGGCTCCATTGTTAGAGTTGAAGAGGCGACGATAGAAGTTTGTCTTGAGAGCTTCCATGTTTCGCACGTGCGGGGATCCGTGATGGTAGGGACCGATTGAGATGTTGTTGGGTCTATAGGCTTTGGGTTCGACCATACGCATGTTTGATGGGACTTTGTATATGCATATGTGGTTGTTGCTTTCTTCTGGTTTTCCACTTTCTAACTCTTTTTTCATGTGATGCTTCCAATTTGAGGTGAGTTTGTTGGCAGTGGCATGGAATTTTCTTGTGTTGAGGTTGTGATGCGAAAATCTGAGGAGGTTTCTACATGCCATTGTATTGTTGGACAAAGGATTGTGAACTAGTTTGTTGTGCTGCGTTGTGACGACTCGATGCTTTTTCACTTGCAGCGGGTCAACTTTTTAAGTCTACATTAAATAATTAAATAAGATTCTTGGGAAGCTACTTAGCTTCAAATTCAATAAATAATAGTAAAAATACATAGAGTTGGCCAATAGCGTGAAGAATTGATGTGTCGGAAAAAATTGTCATCCGACGATTATAATTGATGTTCGGTTTAATTATTTTATTAATTATTAATCTAATTGTTTAATAATCTAATTAATTGTTTAATAATATTAATTAATAAAAATTATAATTAATATATTTTATTGATTTTTTAATGAAAGAATTAATGAAGAATTATTATGATAATAAATTAGAAGATTTTTAATTTTGTCTATAAGAAAATTGTAATGTTTAATTGTCTAATAAATTTAAGGAAGAATAAAGACTAAAAAAAATCTTTATTACTCTAAATATCTAAAACTACTTTGTTACATATTTAGTAATTTGATAATAATGACTATAAAAAGTAAGCTTTTATTATTATAAATTATACTGAGATATTTTTTTTTTTACTGAAAGAACCAAGCTAAATGTAAGAAAAGAAAATAGGAAAAGATTTGTAGCCATAAGATAAGTAATTAGAGGAAAGAGAGACAAATAGTAGAGAACATGGTCAAAGGTGAGGGTAATATAAGTAAGAAAAAGAAAGAAGGAATTTTGAAAAGAAATAAGTTTGTGAAGAGTAAGGTGTGTTTGTTTCCTGTTTTTTTAAAAACAATTTTGATTTCTAGAATTAAACAAATAAAAAAAGTTTTTCTAACTTGCTTTCTTAAATTTGCTTCCTAAAATTATTCTCTTTTATGGTTTTTAAAAATAAAAACAATGAGAAAAGCTCAGAGTTTTTTTCATTCTCAGATTCACATTATCTGTTGAAAACTAAAAGTAGTGAACATATTGTTCATTAATTAATGGCATCATTATAAATAGTCTAAATCAGACATTGTATTTTTGTCCCACTAATTTACGTTCTCCAATCAATACTAATAAATTATTTACATAACCTTTAATTTGAAAGAGCTAAACGTATGTTGAAAGTACGTTAAATGGAATTTTTTTTTTCTAGGAGGTTAAAAGTAATTTTGAGAGTGTTGACTGTCTATTTAATTAGTAAAATATCTCATGATGGATTCTCAACTTGTGAAAAACCCTTCATGCCAGTTGCAACTATAATACCGTGAACGAGATTAATCATTAACTAATTTAACTAGAAGATACATATGACGAGCAAAAAATGGTAACCAAAATATAGGTTTCATAAATATACATACAAATTATCCACATTTAAACCTTTGAACTATATGTTCGTGAACCCTCATATAGCAGTTAGTGACCTTAATTAATGGGTAAGATTTACACATTAGTGTCAACCATACATCATTAGACGATTCAAGATGATATGGTATAAATGGTAGCTATATATAGACATTCAAGATGTTAATACTCGAGCCTTTGTGTTCAATGAAGAGGTTTAGACCGTGGGATAAACATTTGGTTACTTTATTTTATAGTTGAGTAGACTAACTATGACTTGTAGTAAAGGCAGTCCAATTAAAATGTCTTAATTGTGTTTACTAATGTTATTTTAACTTTTATATTTGTTTGGAATGATTTCAGAAAGCATAAAATAGGTTCATGCTAGAGATTCAAAACCTCGTTTGACTCCTCTATAGTATTTGGGTGCATTCGTAATGACTATCTAGAAAAACCCTATACAAATAAACATGAATCACAAACTCGTAGACAAAAGCATTATTATTGATCATTTTTTTTTTGTATGTCAAAGGGATTTTTTTTGACATTTGTGTGTGTAACAATTTGTTCTTCTTATCATAGTATAATCACACACACATAATTACTTGATTACTAATATGGTTACAAAATAAGGAGCAATTGATCATTGATAATTATTGTTCCTCATCAATCTCTTGTGGTTCTCTCGTATTCTTTGTACAAGAAGACAAACACTTTGGCCTTTAGAGACATAATTGATTTATAAGTTCCTAATTTTAATACATTTTCTTTGTCATATATTTTTCTACTAATAAATTTAATAATTAACAAATTTTAATTTTCAAAGTTTATCATAAAAAGCTATGAAAGCACAATTGAGGTTGCAAGAGGTTTCAATTACATCTAGGAAGAAGATTTCATATTTAGTGCCAAATATAAGTTAATTAAACACATATTCATAATTGTTATTTAAAATATAGTCTTATTGTATATATTAAATTTGTAATATCCAAGATAACCAGGTAACCATAAATGTGGATATTACAGGATAAGCACATGCATGTCCATAATTATCTTTGTGGATATTATATTAACGCGTGAAATTAGATAATATATTTAAAATCCAGATTACTTATTTAAATATAATATGAGTGTTGATCATGTAATATTTTACCACCAATATGAATTTATAGATATTAACAACTTGTGTCCATTTTCACATGTTAGACTACATATTTCTTGAGTATTTATGATAACTTGTAAATGATTTGTTTTATTTATTTTAATTTAAAATTGCATATGTTTATGTAAATTACGATGATTATGTATTTTACATTGGTTATATTGTTTATATATGTATTGAAATTTACATTGGTTATGTTGTTTATATATGTATTGAAGTAATTTACATTGGTTATGAGATTTATTTAACATACCTTATAAATTTTATCATATGTAGTTTAATTTATATAAGTTTTTAATTGTATTTAAATAAATAATATATTATATAGGATTGTTAGTGGTTAGTCTTATACCAAATATTAAACTGTCTAGTTGTAAATTGTAGGGAGAAAAAAAAAACAATTCGACTATAAAACAAAATATTCTATGTCGATTATATATGATCATAACCTATGACGATAGAAAGTAGACACCTAATGTAATACCCATTCCATAATAGTTAGAAAGAATCAACATAAGATACTCTCTTTCTCTGTCAGTTTTGTGACTAAAACTTAATTTCTATGTTACCTTGATTTATGTCAGTTACAAGTCATAATCGACGTAGATCGAAAGTCCATTTTAACAAAAATAGAAAGTTTCATTTGTAGCAATGTTAATTAAAAATTAAAAATGAATCCAACTTATTAAATTAACATGACAAGTTAAGCAAGTTAGTGGATTCTAAATGCTATCTCATCCAACCAAAGTAAACAGGGCTATAGTCAGTAGACCCATTAACCGATCCATAATAATAACGGAGAAGGAAGATGAGCTACTCTCTAATCTATTCATTATTCACGCTTTAAGGTGGGGGAGCTCTAGGAATTGGCTGAATCGGGAAGGCCACATTGATGTCATTTTTGGGACTACATGTCATGGTTAGGTAGTGTAAAAAAATTTAAAAAAGATAATTGATTGTGTCAAGTTACTCTATAAATTACGAAGTTAGCAGCTTTAACTAATTGCCTTGAACTTCTAACGAGTAAAGATAAAATTAGTAGTAGTATAAGGTGACTATTTGTATCAAAAATATATAACTAACATTCTATAGCAATTAGTTAATTCGTTGATTAATTTTAAAAAAATACAAATCAGGATTAACATAGGAATTTTACCTAAATATTTTGAAGATCCAAGTGCCAATTAACCTTTTACTCGTTCTACAATTTAATACTATATTCTTGATTATTAGTTATCTTTTAGCCATTTTAAAATCTATTCTATAATTATAGATTCAAAGTCTTTAATCAGATCGGTTACAAAATATTAGGTTCAAATTCTAGTATTTTCATTATAATTTTGATAGATAAAAAAAAATAACTTTAAACTGCCCCATTGGGAAAATTATCACTTCTGGACATGACATGGGGACTTATTCCAAGGCACGTGTTTAAAAATGCTAATTGGTATAACTGATAAGCCTATTTAAAGAGGAGTGATCTGCTTTGGCAAGTGTGTCTTATTTACATGAGTAATGATATTTTGATAACGTTTATAAAATTTAAACATATGTATTTGCACAACCTGAAGGATATTTATTTATCTGTTTCTTGAGCTAGTTACACAAAATTCACAAGAAAAAAAAATCACCATATTAAATACTCCCATAAATCTCGAATTTCCCTGCATTGTTCTCCACAATTAGAATTGCGTTTACTTTTCTAATTTCGTTGCATCATTTTGACTACTACTTTCACCTTCCATTTTAGAGATTGGAGTGCCACGAAATGGGGTACAAAACGCATCTACGAGGAGAGATGGAAAGCTCTTATTTTCCAACGCTTTTAACGCCCCCGCAAATCCAAACACGGTCTGAATGAAAGTGAGGTAAAGCACCAACAACGCGCCAATAGTAGAGACCCCCACAACCCAGCTTGTCAAATAATGATGCACCAACGAAGCTCTTTTTCTGGCGTAGAAAGAATTAAAGTACAAATGAGCATCGTTCACCACTTTGTGCAAGTACGACTCGTGTTTGTCCCGAACAATTTCTTTTGTAATGTTGTTGATTAGTTCCGACACGATGTTGTCGTTGCCTAGAGAGTGGTGAAGCACCCCTTTGTAGTGAAGAAGAGAAACATCATCAGCAGAGTTAATGAGACCGTTGAAGAAAAACAAGTAGGTTGTCACATCGGGGTTGCACTCTTTGTGGCACTTCTCGAATGCTACTATGTTACGAAACACGGTTCCTCTGTGGTCGTTGATGTTCAAAGGAGGAATAGTGAGTTCCCTCAGAAAACCCCATTTTTTGCCAAAGGTTATGTCAAGCAATTGTCTACTCTCATCTGCTTTGATCCTCACACCAGCCTCCATCAACTCCGTTATGGAACGAACCATCTGGTGTTGGGCCCCTCTGGGCTTTTCTCCCTCTATTTTGGGCCTAATGCTGGACCTGAGAAGATCCAGAAAGTGAAGCCCTCTTAACTTCTCATCACCTTTCTCATATTCAGGAGAAATGTTAGAGTCAACCTGCAACAAAGGGTAAAAGAACCTAAGAGCACTTGCTTTGAGGCTCATGCATGGTTGTGATGAAGTTGCATCAACACTGGACAACTCAAACAACTTGTTCAAAACAAACATTGGAATCTGGTTTTCGAGCATTATCAACTCGCGCCGAATGATGGGTACTATCCACCTACTGAGAGAAGGAACTTGTCTAAACTCATGCAATGATAGATCCTTAAAGAGTTGAATAATGAAAGAGGCATCGACTAGCATCATTTGTAGAAACTCGTCGCTGCTGAGTTTGATGTCTTCCATGTAACATCTTCGAACGTTGGATTCTTGTTCCTCGAGGAACTTGAAGGCCTCGTCTAGTTTGGCTCCATTGTTTGGGTTGAACAAGCGACGATAGAAGTTTCTCTTGAGAACTTCCATGTTTTGCAATTTGGGTGACCCGTGATGACAAGGACCGATTGAGATGTTGTTGGGTCTGTAGGCTTTGGGTTCGACCATACGCATGTTTGATGGGACTCTGTATATGCAAACGAGGTTACTTTCTTCTGGGTTCTCCCTCTTTCCACTTTCTAACTCTCTCTTCATAAGATCCCTCCAATTTGATCTTCTGTCAGCGGTGCCATGAAGTTTTCTTGTGCTGAACTTTTTGAAAGCCAATCTCATGATTTTTCCACTTGCCATTTTTGGACTAAGAATTTTGTTTTTGTTGTGTTAGCTTGAATATATAATAAAGAGGGCACGGGAAACACGAAGAAGAAAGAAAAGAGAGTTGCATTAGCGTAAAGAATAAAATGAATAGGAACAAACAACCAAGCGGAGATGCAAGGAAGGAGAATCAGAGATAATCTGAAAGAAGCAACGAGTGAAAAGTGACAGAGGAAAGAACATGGTAGAAGGTGAGGGTAAGTAGGAAAAGGAAGCATAATTTTGAATGGAAAAAAGAATGTGAACATTCTAAGAGTGGAAAGAAAGGAAGATCTATGAACTGGGAAATTCTCTTCTATAATTGAAATAATGTTTAATAAGATATTGACACGGGTGAGAAAGAAATGGGTTGGATAAATTTTTTTGTTTGAATTATAATTAAAAAAAAATTACTGATTAAAGAGGTTGTATTATAGTTGGATATATAAATGCAAATATGGCAAATGATGTTGATTAGATCCCACAAATCCACTTTAGATTATTTGATTACACGGGTAGATGCAGGTGTCAGACGGAGTTGAATTTTGCAACTGAAACTTGCATTGTTGTATGTAAATGAAGAATTTTCTGCATAAGCTTAGGTTTTGTATTGTAAAATCAAAGTGCCATTCACCTTGGGTAAGAATTCTACTTTGCATAATAAAGCATATTGATGTTAGATATTATTGGAAACAAGATGGATTAAGTTCCACGATGCTTAAGGTTGAGAAGATTCAGAGCATATGATAATGATGCTAATATATGTTGTAAGCCACTGCTAGGAGAGAAGCTTCGAGAGATTGTAGTATGATATTTTTTTTTTTCAAAATAGAAAGATATGGCTCCACTTAAACCGTGATGGGAAGATTTGCACGTCAGGTACGTGACGTGAGTCTCTCTTCTCTTCAAATGGGGACCTACACTGCTTTGAATAAAAAAAAAAAGGATGGTTGTTACAATTACTCGAAGCCCGTCAATTTGAATCCAAGAAAAAGAGGGTCGCTCGCCCCTTGCAAGGAATCGTGTTCTTTGTTTTATGGTGCAAAAACTTTTAAAAACAAAAATATACAAATAAGCAACGACAACGAGGATAAAGGGAAAGAATTCTTTGTCTCTAGCGAGAGAGAGAGAGAGAGGATAATAGAGCAAATGCATTTTATTTTAAGATAGTTTAAATAATTAACTTATTCTTTCTTCCCACCAAATATTAATCCAAGTATTTCAAATCATTTTCTAGAATTTAAAATAACTTTGAGACAACATAATAAGATTTTATATGTTAAAATAGAAGAAAATTTTATAATTTTTTTATTCAATTTATTTCTTAAAATTTACATACAAATATGAAAAATCTCAATTTATCATATAAAAAACATTCTTAATAAATTCAAATTATTAATATATATATATATATATGTATGTATATATAATTTTAAGAAAATATATATTTAAATGAAAAAATAAACGTAATTAAGTTATTCTAAAATATCAAATGTTCATGTATATTAAAAAAATAAAAACAGTTTCAAAACTCTTTAAATATAGAAGGATATGGTAAAATTTCACTTATTTTAGTCAAAATGTTGATATAAATATTTTATTTGGCGTTTTATCTTCTAAATTAACAAGTCAATAATGACTTAGTGAGTTTTTCTTTTTATATCTTTATTTCTACCCATTAGTTATTTGTTGCTGCTTGTATTAGGATATTTCTGTTGCCTCAAGGAATATAAGACATAAGGCCAATATGTCTTAGGCCCCAAATTCAGGCCTCAATTTTTTATTCACATTTTTATAAATTATTTATTATTAATTTAAATTAATAGGTCATAAATTTTACTATAACATAGTATATTATTTATTACTATTTTTATTAATAAAACTCTAATCTTGGTAGAGTTACTATGTTTACTATAACATGATTAAATCTGTTATAGTTTTTCAAATACAGATATTTAATTAATATATAGTAAATTCAGTGGCAGAAAACTTATTATAAACTTTAGAATAAAATAATTCTAATAGCAGTATATTTATTATAAAATTTAATATAAAATAATTCTAATAGCAGAATATTTATTATAAATGTAATATTACTCCATTATAAGTTTATAACAAACTTTACCAGAACTCATGCATTTCATGCTCCTAGACTTGCATTTTTTAGTTATTGATCATGAATAGATGTTTTTATCAATTGTATATACTGTTTTATTATTAATCATAAATCTTATGATTCTACTCACGATTCAGAAAATAGACTTTCCAATATACAATTTGTATCCCAATTTAACTACCATGCTACTTAGCTTCTTTACCACAACTTTAATCAATTCACATAACAAGACCTTGACGAGATAAAGAATAATGAAAATAAAATTCATTCAGAGGCAAGATACCCAAATATTCTACCCAATACTACTCAAGACCTAACAAGGTTAGATTTTCCTAGAAACGAGCATTTTACCCTTTCTAATTAATTATGGATTAGCTTCCGCCAAATAATCATTTGATCAAACTGAAAGATCCCTTGCTTTTAGATTATTTATTTATATGTAGGTCTAAAAATTACAACTCTTAAAGAAGAAATATCCATGAGCGATTCCCGAGAAAATAGGCAGTTATAATTTGACAAAAATTAACTTTCAACCTTCAACCTGGCGGCCAATTCATCTGTCTCCCACCCAATACATGCAAGTGCAGATGATACACAGATTGACCTAATCAAAATAATGAGTTTGAGAAAGAGGAAGTTTACAGGTAGTGGCACAAATATAAGCAAGTGAAAAAAATTCAGATAAATTGTTGACAAGAAACAAGCTTACAGGCACTAGGACCACTGTTGATGACGACTCGGAATCCATCGACAATACCTTCTTTCTCAGCTACTATTTTGGCAGCATAGAGAAGTTGCCCCAATATTTCCCCATGTCTACTATCAGCCTGTGAAAGGAGATTTTATATATCATGTAAAATAAAACTCCTGTTTTCCTTGCTGCAAAAAAATGCTTTTCTTTTTGGCATAAATCACTTGAAGATTTTTAGAACCATCAGTTCATAAAAAGCCCCAGTGTAATGTTTTGCCATCTAATGAGATATCCAAATAATTCAACGGTCACAATTAACCAAAAATCTGATGACATGAAAATAATACTAAATAAAGATTGATAATAAAAAATAAAAATCAAAAAGTATCATTTAGGGGCTGTATAATGTGAAAGTATATTCAAAATTGGACAACCATGAGACAGTTTGACAAATTAAGTAATCTGCAAACTAATGATGAGACATCATCTGTTCAGAGTAGCTAAAATCAGTATTTTTTCTGTTTATATTCATCGTAGTTTTCTGTTTAAGTTCAGTGAGATTACTGAACTTCAATTGACTTGTTACCTTAGGGGTCTCATTTATAAATATATATTCTCAGTTATTTTCAATGATGCTTCCTAATTCCTATCTTTCATTTGCATGTCTTCACATTAACATGTTCGTAGTCCATACAATTTCAGTAAACTATTTTTCACTTAACAGAAGAATCATGCAAAACTTTTTGTAAGTGTACACAGAAAAAGGGCGATTAGTGACCTTCCCAAGCTGTGTTAATCCATCTCTTAATTTTGGAATGACGAGAACATGAACCGGAGCCTGTGGATTAATGTCACGAAATGCAAGAACCTTTTCATCTTCATAAACAATGGTAGAAGGGATTTCCTTACTTATGATCTTATCAAATCTGGAAAGAAAGTAGAGATTACAAAATTACACAGAAAAAGAAAAACACAATAAAATGATTAAGCCATTATAAGTTTGAATGCATCTGTGCAAGTGTGTGTCAGTGTGCTCATAAATATCAAGAGATACAGATCTTGCCTACATTATGGAGCCCAAAATGGTTTCAACCATACTTCTCTGATTACATTTACCAATCCCCGAAATTCAAATTGACTGTCACAGTTCATTTGTGTGGGAAACCTTTCTTAATAGGGATTTAAAATCTTTACATCCCAGTGAATCCTTTAAATTTAAAATCAACTCTATCTTGAAATCATTCAAAGAGGAAGAGGGAAGCAGAGAAGTACAATATTCGTGAAATTTTTTGGAAAATTGGTATCATGCAATGGGATTTGCACTCCCTTCCAAGACTAAGGTGAAAACCATTATAAACAAAATGATGTTAGATGTGAAAGGGTTGTTACATTGTCGGAGCTTCACTATCAAAATTAACAGCAGCTGCTTTTGCTGCAGCCTCTTCATTGTTCAATGCACGGGTACTAACGACCGACCTGTTACAAGCAAAATGTCAAAAACACATCTATACAACACAGCAAGTCCATAACCAGAGTATAGCTAGTTACTACTTATTCCAAACAAGGGTAATACTAAAAGTCAGTAAACAGTCACTTTTATCCCTCAAAGTGGTAAATGCTGTCGCATTAGTATCTGAAATTAAAAAAAAAAAATCAAATAAATCCCTAGAATGTCAAATACGTTACTAAATTTAAACGCTCATTTCCATCTCTAAATATATATTAATATTATAACTTTAGGTACACATTTTCTTTTTGAATTTAAGACTAATGTGATTATTAATTTGCACTCTTAGGAACTTTAACATTTTCTTAAATAACATCATTTTTAAAGGACCAAAGTGACTAGAAATATGAAAATCCAAGCAACCACCATATGCTTCAAAACAAATGCTGAAACCAATCAAGTATAATTCAAATCAACAGAAACACTCGGTTTCAAATTTAACTGATGACAGACGAATCGCAAATACTTGTAACAATGCCAAACAGAACTTACGCTTTCTTTGAAGAGTTTAGTTCGAGAAATTTCCTATTTTCACAAATAATTACTAAAATTAAAACGACACCAACACCACGAGAAACTTCCGAATCTCTCCCTAATTTGGTGCGAAAAGTAAAATTCCCTCATTTTGGCACGCAATAACATTTTTCTAAACAGGGCGAAGCGAGGATTGAAAGAGAAACCTGCGTGGTTGAAGAGGGAGAAGATTGAAGTTGGAGACTTTGCGAACGAAAGGTGTTGCTAGTTTCAACGGCGAGAAGTTCCTGCAATAAAATTGGAAGCGAAACTCAAGAGATTAGAGGGAAGTGAGAGAAACAAAGCGAGTGATTGAGAGAATATGAAAGGAAAAGAAAGGAAAGTGCCTCAGCAGAGAAAAAGGAATGGTTGCTGCCATGGCTAATGCCTCGCTACTTCCTCCAACCAAAAATCTTAATTAATCCATTTTCTCCATAAATATTATCAACGTTTAATACCATTTGGTACTTTCTAAACATTTGATAATTATTATTTTTTAATTAAGTTACTAATTAAAAAATTATAATTAAATCAAATATTTGACATTTTTTATAAATAATTATTAAAAAAAATAATTATAAATTTTCCGTTCAAAAACCTAATAAAAATTTAATTCATGTTTTACCTATTTATTTTTTTGTTCGTTCCTCGTTACGAGGAAGACACCTCAAAAGGTGGGATAGCTGGTCCCAAAATTTAACGCGATTGCATATACAAGGCAAGGATTCGAACCCCTGATTTTGCTTAAGCGTGGATCAACCCCTATCGCTGAACCACACACTTGGGGTTTAAAATTTGTAGATTTGATCTATGCATTAAGAACTTTGAATTCAACAATTAAATTATTGAAATTTGATGTAAAATATGAGTTATTAGAATATAATGTAAGTGAATCATAACCATTGGTTTGAACCAGCAAATCTTTACATATGAGCGATCAAGATTGCAGCATTTGCTAGTGGCAACACACAACCACACCAATGCCTTGTTGAATATATATCACAAATCCACCCCATAAAATGTTGATTTCATTTAGTTCACTAACTCACTCATTGGGTGGAAGCACTTATTTTCCCTTTCAACTTAAAGCATGCAAGTCTCTTCAATCTGCATCCCAACCAAGGTTCCGATTCGCGTGAAGTCACTACACACAAACCCAGCAACCTTAAACGACACCACTTCCACGGTGGTTGCTCCTAAATGGGCTCAAAAGACAATAACTTTGCCTCCCCTTAAACGTGGGTGTCATCATATCACTTCCAAGGTATATCTAAGTTTTTGAACTTACAAATCAATTAATCATGTTTTTGTGCCTCCTTGTTTGTAAGTCCCATATATGATGGGACAACTATTTCTCTTATTATATGCTCGATGATCATTTAAACACTAAGTTTTTAGTATATGATTTACTTTGAACTTTTTATTAAACCAAATATAACCATTGTTATTGGCTCAGATTTTGAAAGAAATTGGTCCAGAATTGTCTGGATTCAAGTGTGGCTTGGCCCATCTATTCTGTAAGTATGCTGATGCAAATTGGTCCAACTATGTTGTTATGTTCAATTTCAACTTGGGCTTTCGTAGAATGAACTTCTAATGAAAAATATACACAGTGCATCACACAAGTGCTTCTCTTACCATCAATGAGAATTATGATTATGATGTTCGCGTTGATACAGAAACGTTCCTCAATCGTATAGTTCCAGAGGTTAATTTTTTATTTAGTTCTACATTAATATTTATAGCAATTAATTTTAATGTACAATCTTACGACAAAAGGCTTTGAGATGAAATTTCCATGTATATTTGCAGGGGCCATCTGCACCTTGGAAGCATACTCTAGAGGGTTAGTTTTTTCTTTTTTTTTTTACCAAACCAATGGATATCTATATTTTATATGTTTAATAGTATTTTCCATTCTTGAAAAAAAAAAGTTCAATGATCTTGAAATTGGATGATATGCATGTCAGTACATATAATTTGCACATGTATATAATTTCAGGACCAGATGACATGCCTGCGCATATTAAATCGTCGATGTTTGGTTGTGCACTCATGTGAGATATTTCATATACACACTATATATAGTTACATACTGTACTATACTCAGAATGATTTATTATGCTGAATATGATATAATCAGCATTAATCCACTGATATGTTGTGTTTTTAGGATACCAGTTACAAATGGAAAGCTTAATATGGGGACATGGCAGGTAACAAAATTAATGCATAACTTTTTTCGTTTTTTTTTGTGTATGACATTTTAATTGTATTATTATTTTTATTATTTATAACAATAATAATTTAGGAAGAATAGTAAGAAATTAGTAAAATTTAATGTAAATAATTAATTTTTTAAGACAAATAAAATTAATTTTTTTCTCTGCTTATATAGAAAACATAATCAAAATATTTTTTTGGAACGTCCATTTCGAAATAATGAGTCTTTTAAAATGAAATGAGTGTTTCAAAATATTAAAAGTATTATTCTTAAGTGAAAGTATTATTAGGAAGCTTTTTCTTTTATAAGAATGTTTTTAAGAATTTTTTAACTTCTTGTCTCTTTTAATTTATCATTCCATTTTTTATTTTTAAATTGAATTTGACATATTTTTTTAAAAATATCTGTAATTAAAAATAACCTTATAATATTTTAGGACAACTTATGGCCTATGTTATAAGGGCATAACTAAATTTCATTTCTTTCAATAACCAAGGTTTTTTTAAATAATAAAATAAATTCTTATTAGCATAAAAAGATTTTTCATATAGCATATATCTCGTAGATTATGACAGTAATCTTAGAACACACCTTACAATATTTTAGGACATGCATGAATCCTATGTTATGAGAAAAAAGTTGGTTGACATAGAATCCTGATGTAGTTACCCTTGGAGCTACATATAAATATATAAGACTATTATATATTGTTGAAGAAAATTTGTGAGCCGTGGCTAAATTATTATAGTTTTAATGTAGTTACCAATGGAACTACATATATGTCATTTTAATTTGTGGAGAAAAGCTTCAAAACTATTGATAGGATTTGATTTTTCATTATTTTTAAGGGTATATGGATTTGTGAGCATCGAGATTATCCTACACCACGTACAGTTGTGGTCACACTTAATGGAGTATGAGTTGCTTAGGCCTCTTGGTTTTACTTCATCTTCATATTAATTATCAAGAACAGTACTTGTGTTTGAGAATTTTTTAGATAATCTGTAAACTTTTGTAGCTTTTACTTTGGTGAAGTTTGAGTACTTTACTGCAGATGTTACTGTCAAATATTTTTTTAATTATCATTTAATCATTCAAGTATTAGGAATTATTTGTTAGCATTTCCTATAAGACAGACTTTTGGAAATTCTTGTTTTTTTTTTTTTTTGGATTAACTATACCATTGCTTAACTTCTTGGTTGTTGTTCAGATGTTCTTTTGTGGCCATTTTCGATTTTTGTAGTGTTACTTAAATGCATTTTTACTGTGTTAGTCGATTATTTAAACAAAATTATAATTCTAAAAAAAATTAGTGATAACAAGATTTGGTTGCTAAATTACTTGGTGACAAAAATTATACAAATAAGAGGTGACAATAAATTTAGTCACTAACATATTTAGCTATCAAATTGAGATCAACAAAAGTATTGTTGCTAATTCAATCATTACTTTTATTATATTTTGTAAAAGAAAATACAATTCAAATATTATAACTAATTTTATCTCTAAATGAGAGTTACAACAACAGAATACATGGTTTCACTAGCTATTGGCTGCTAATTCGCCTGTCTTTTTCTTTCTTTAAAAAAATACAATTTATTTGAATGATTGTTTGCAGATTTCTAATTCATCTACATTCTTAAAAAATAAATATTCATAAATTGTAACAAAAATAAGAAATAAAAAGAATATTTTATTAATAAAAATAGGTTATATTACACATAAAAATATATTTTATCTTTTTAAAAAATAAAGTCAAAGGTCGAAAATTTCTTAGAACACTATTAAAGATACACTTTCCTCATCTATCCTTGCAAGAATCAAATAGTGTTCGACCATTAGTGAGACCAAGCACCTTCTAGCAACGCTGAAAGGTTTAAAAAGCAATATATCAAATTGTATTAACAAAATATTTGTATTAGAAAAACAACTATTAATCCTCTTTGATGTCAAATTACTTAATTGGGTAATTATGCGCAAAGACAAAGAAAAAAAAAACTAATAAGATTATAATATAAATAGAGAGCAAGTCAATTATAGGTACTGCTCACTTATTAAATATATATTGATTGTTCTGCTTCTTACTTAAATATCAAAGTGTGTTTTATAAATATTTCAATCCCATTGAACTGAAGTCAACGATTGTAAACGTAAGAAGTATCTTTAAGTGCAACCGTACAAAAGATTATAGTAAATAATAATATAGAATGAAAAAATAATTGTCATGATAATATATTCATCCTCAGCCAGCCTATTACCAATAATATTTTTTTATAGGTTATACCGTTGAAACCAATTAAAAAAATAGAATTGCAAATACCTCCTTATAGATTGTTCTAAATGCCCCTTATAGTGTATTTAGATAAAAAATTTAAATGGAGTAATTTATTTATTTAAATAATTTTAAATTTTTTGTGGTGAAATACTTTGTTTGGATAGAAAATTTATAAAGAATTTAAAATTTAAGCATTTGTGAAATTCCTTGAAATAGTAGAATTTCAAATTCTCAAAAAAAGTAAGAATTTGAAATTCCTCATATTTCTTTTTCTTATTTCACTTATATATTTTATCTTATCTCTTATCTCTTCATGTTTTTAATTATTGAATATTTAAAAATATTTTTAAAATTATTAAATATTATCTAATATTAATTTTTAAAATTATTAAATATTTAAAAATTAACTAATATTTATTTTTATAAAAATTAATTTAAGAATCTCAATATATAAATATATTTTTAAAATCAATTTTACTATAGTAGAATCAAATTGTCATATCCAAACTAACAATTTAAAATTTAAGAAATTTGAATTGACTTGTCCAAACAAAATATTTTAAGAATGATAAAAATTGAAATTAAAGTAATTTAAATATCAATAATTTAAAATTCCTCATCCAAACATACTAAGGTTTTGTATCTAAATGAAATCAGTTTTTTTTTTTTTTTTTTGTCTTGTAAGGTGTAAAATGCTCCCTATATAAAGGATTGAAGCATGTTATCACGTCCCTCTGTATAAACTCAGAATGTACAACTTTGGCTGAGGCACCAAAAGGCCACTATATATATTCACCTACACATACTCAGGTTATTGTTGTTTTAGACTCCCACGACTCGTTGAATAATACCTTATATAAGAAAAGTCATTGAGTCAGTGTTTATATTGTCAATTTTCCGGGTTTCTAAAATAATTTAGTCATTTCAGTTTTAAATAATTAAGGAATGATGCCCAAGTCCAAGATGATCCGTGAAGGTCAAGAAGAAAATATGGGAGCAAGAGGAAAGAAAAATAAATTAGCATGCCATGCAATACAGTTTCAATTTTCATGGAAGACATTTTTCTTGTTTTCTGGATTAAGAAACTTGTACTTCTTTGAGGGAATACTAGTGAATATCTAATGTTGATATTCTTTGAAATCTTTGTTGGTTAACAATTTTAAAGGACGGAATATCTGCAAAAGACATTCTGACACTCAAATAAACTCTAATTCAAATATTTAGAGAAGTAATAGATGAACAGTAATTTTATTTCAATTTGTATAATTATTTATATTGACTATAATGAACTTGGATCTATTGGATTTTGGTTCTTGATTACCAATTAGGTAATATGATCGATAATATTGATTAAACTCCTAATGTTACTTTGGTTTCTTCATCATTTACATAATTCACATCATAATGACTCAATGGTGTGATTAACCCTGTGGTTTCAATTATCTCAACTCCTTGGACCACCAAGATAATTGTGTTCAAACCATTTATAAAAATTATCTATCTCGACATTCTTGATAGTTGAGTATGTCGAGATAACTATGTATAATTGAGATTTGTGACTAAGACAATGTACCAATGATGTCTACATCAACTATCTCGACAACCAAGACAATTGAAACATACATAGGCAATTAAGATAAACGTGACCTTGGTTAATGGTGTATCAAGGTTGTTACGCTTAGTTGTCTCGATGGTCGAGAGCTTCGAGACGACTAGTCATCTGTTCATACAAATCTGTGTTGGTATACAAGTTCCCAACCTTAAGGAGCAGTGCGACTATAAGGCTAAACGAAAAGGTTGGATGTGATGACCGAGAGCTCCGAGGTAGCTAGTCATTTGCTTGTGCAAGTTCGTTTTGGCATATATAAGCCTATAACCTTAAGGAGTTGGGCGACTATAAGGTTGGATGTGACGATGACATTGGCCCCAAGAAACATAACAGTCGTGATTCTTCATTTCACAACATTGTCTAGGGAGTTGAATGATTATAATTTGATGAACCATTGAATCATAACAATCCAACAATTGCAATGATATATGTGTCAATTAAGGGTTTCTTATGACCAACCACTATAAATAGGGGGAAAATGATTCTCGCAAGTCTCCCTACGATGGACATTAAAATGTACCTAAGAGCACACCGATAAATCTCTAGCATCGATATCCTTGAAAATTGGCTGACAACTTCAAGGAGTGTGATACCTGCAAAAAATACTTTAATGCTCAAATCAACTTTGACTCAAATATATAAGAGAGTAATAAATGAATAGTAAATTTATCTCAATTTATGTAATTATTTATACCGACCATAATTGACTTAGATTTGTTGGACTTTAGTTCTTAATTACCTATTAATTAGTAATACAATTATTAATAGTAATTAAACTCCTAACCTTTCTTAGTTTCTTCATCAGAACTTAATTTTGTTGACGAGAAAATGACTTTCTTTACTTATGTGTTTAAATAAATTGTGAAAATTAAATATTTTAATACTTAATTATATGAGTAACCGATTATTATTATAATCAACTATAATTAAAATTATATTTTATTTAAGTAAAAATGTTGCTAAGCAATTTTAAGATGTTTGGCTTTGTTTAGATATAACAAAAATAATCAAATTTTAAGTAGTAAATGAACTTAAAAAAACTGTTGAAAAATAATGATTAGTTTTAAATTTTCAATTCATAAAATAACTTATTTTTTCTAGAAAAAAATTGTTCACAAATTTAAATTGTTCTAAATACTTTTTTTCATACATTTTTAAATGAAATAGTTGAAATTAGGGATGAACATTGGTTGGTTATGACTGGTTTCGACTCAAATATTTCGAATTTAATGTAAAATGAATCAAGAAAAATTTAGATTGATCTCGATTGATATAAGTCTCGAGTTGTCAAGTTCAACAAAAAGTGGGCGAGTCCATTACAACAAAATTTGTTATTAACGATAATTATTTAATGACAATAATGTAATTGCCACCATATATAAAAATATTAATGGCTAATATATAATAGTCACTAAAAATGTATTTATATTACACTAAAATTTACTATTATTTATTAGAAAAAACTTAAGTCCCATATTGATTAGAGATAAGATAATTAAATAGTATATAAGTGAGTAATAGTTATCACCTTACAGGTTCATTCTATAGGGTTGAATCTTAATTATTCTAATTTGGTATCAAATCACCCATTATTACCAAATTCAATAATGTTATAAAATAATTAGAGAGCAACTTTCACCTTATAAATCTCACATTTGTTAAGAGACAAGACAATTAAAAAAATATATTAAAAAATATATTAAAAAAAAAGACAATTCTCATCTCACAAATCCCATATCAAGTAGAGATAAAAAAAAGTATATAAGTTATGAATTTAGAAAAGGAAATTATAGGAATAAATTATTTAAAGTAAAGGAGACAATTAAAAAAAATAAGTTTTAATAGCCTTTAAAATGGCTACTAGAATTGTCACTAAAAAAATAAGTTTTTCCGACAATTTAGTAGATCTTTACCAGCATTTTATATAAATGCCGGTAATAATATTAACGACACTGGATACACCAGCCTTTATTTAAATACTAGTAAAAAAAGTAATGATCATTTATATGACTGCTAAATAATAAATTAATTACCACAAAAAATTAATTTTGGTGTAGTGGTCACTCCATCTCCCTTGTTCTTACTTAAGAGGTGGATAAGTCATGATTGATAAAGGTGGAAAGTGAGTTGGACTTTCCAAGTTGTCGCACCAGAACTTGCAAGGAGGTTGTATGACCAAATTATGAAGAGAAGTTGTAAATAATTGTGACAAAGTGAGGTAAAGTTGGTGTTGAAAATGGTAGG